TAACGAGACCCGTAACCTCCTAAGAAGTTTGTGTATCACTCTCTCTTTACTCTACCCTAGTTGGAAGGTTCTAAAAATGATATATAGCAAAATTGTATCACGTTAGAGATATGCAAGATACGGTAGGATAACCATGAATATCTCTAATCGACATTCTTATATATGAAATAGAAGAGAAAGTATGGTGTAATTATATATTCTTACCTCTATTTATTTTTGTAAAATCTAATTGTTCAATAAGATAATTATAAAATTGATTATAAATTGGATTGTTATAAAGATTTTTTAACGCAAATCCATCAAGATAATTTGAATTATTTTTTGTAATAATTTGATTAAAATTTATTGTTGGTATTATATCATTTTTTGATATAAGTTGTTGAATATTTTCAATAATTTCTTCTGGAATTTCATAAAAATTAAACATTATATATTCAAATAGAATTAATAAATAAATATTATGTTTTGTTGTTTGAATAATTTCAACAAGTTGTAAAAGAATATTTTTACGTTGTGGAATTGTCATTTGATGAAAAAATATAAGAAAAATTTCTAAATGTTCAAGTGTTAATTCATCTGTTGAATTTGCAATACTTTGAAGAAATTTATCCCATAATAAACACATTAATTCTGGATTTTTTCGTTTTAATATAATTTTAAGAAAAATTATTAAATTATTTATTGAAATTTTTAATGACCATGATTGATCTAATGAAATTCCAAGTTTTTCAAGTAATAAATCTTCATTTGTATATGTTAATATATCACTTTGTATAAGATTATGAATAAATCTTGGTATTGTTATTGAATGTTGAATTAAATATGATAAATTATCAATTTGATCATTTGTATTTAATGTTATTGTAAGATCATTAATAAGAATTGATATATTTTGATTTAGATAATTTTTATCAAGATAATTTAATAAATCATAATAATCATCTTGATCAATAATTTCATCTGAACATAAATCAATTTCTAAACAACGATTTAATATTGTTCGTTTACGATTAGTTGATGATAATGATGAACGATAATTTGTTTGTTGAGATGTTGTTGTTGTTGCTGTTGTTGTTGAAGTATTTGTTAAATTTATTGTATTTGTTTCATCAAATAAATTTTTTATACCAAATGTATCTTCACTAATACTTTCTGTTGATGGAGTTTCTGGTGGTAATGGTGGTGCATCAGGAATTGTTGATGTTATTTTTATTGTTGATGATGATGATGAAATAAGACGATTTAAAATAATTAAAAATAATTTTAATGTTTGATGTTCTTGTAAATAAAAATAACGTTGAGATGATTGAAGTAGATCTGTTATCTTAATAAATGAAAATTTTTCATTACGAGAATCAATTATTTCAATATTTAAATCAGAATATGATATATCATTGATTAATTCTCGAGTTGAAAACATTAGAATTGCAATAAGATGAATTAATAGATTGTTTATTGATCTAATCGAAGAGAAATCAGAATTTCGAAATTATTTTTTTTTTTTAGATTAACTTACATTTTTGATTGTTGTTGTTGTTGTGTTTCATTTTGATTATTATTATTATTATTACTAATATTAATATTTTGAAGAATTTCTTTAATTCCTTTTGTTAATGTAATTGCCAATAAAAGATGATAATTAAGAAAAATATTTCGTGAATTTTCAAGTCGAGGTGAATTTCGTATTGTATCACCGAGTTTAATACATGTACGTGCTATATCATGTAAAATTTGATCATTAGTTATTATTTCATCATTATTTATTACTAAACGAACATATTTCAATCCAATTAAAAGTGAATTTAATGTCATAGTAATAAATTTATTTAGACGATTTTCATCAAGTGGTTCTATTACTGGCAATTGAATTGTACGACGTAGAAAATCAAGATCATTTTTAATTGATACTAAGCTATTTAAACAAAAAAATAAATAAATAAAACTAAAAACAAAAAAAAACGGTGTTTTTTAATGACATACTTCTCTTGAAATTGTGTATCATTACCAGAAATAATTATATTATTATGAAGAATATAATTTATATTAATTTTTGAATCAATTATCAATGGCATATGGAACAATATCTCACTAAAATACTGTTCACCATGTAATTGTTTAAAATCATTCAATAGAACTTGACTCATATGTTCTAAAAATAAATATATAAAATGCGTTTTAATAAAATATTTTTTCAAAGGATAGTGTAACGATTCGAAGCCTATCAATTAGAACATTCCATTGGAAGTCAAACATTTTTTTCTTCTTCTACATAGTAAACAAATTTATTCTTAATATGTCATGTCATGAACAACTTTCAAACATCACAATAACGTTGATGCTATTATTTTAGCACATGTCCAATGAAATTCAGTCGTTACAAATTAATTTAAATATAAAAAAACTGTTTAAAGTAATGAATCTTGACTGAAATAGAAAAAATTTAACAATGCATTATCCAGCATAGATGCGACGCTCCTTCAAAGATCCGGTAGACTCTCTTAGTAGAGCCTATCGGATTCAAAACTTTCAGAATTGGATATATCGCCGCGAAGATATAAGATATTTTTTTTTTGGTGGCTAATGCATCCTACACATTTCTCAGAAGACTAGAGTCCAAGTTCGGAAATAATCCACTGACTCTATCTTCGGGAGTTTGTAGTTCTAAAAATAAATGTTCGCCCGCACGAAGTTCTAAATCATGTCTCTGAAACAATGAATAGTTCGGAAGGAAGGAGCGAGCACCCTTGGTGGTCTCATTCTAAATCCGCCACCGTTCCGGAAAAGGAAATCTGAATGAAATATTAAAATTTAGTCTTTTTTTTTTCTCGAGTTTGGCAATAACAAACATTATCTCATGAATTTGGTATATTGAAATGAATGATTACGAAATGATACTGCAAAATTGGAAGTATATAAAATAGTAAAATCATTAAGAAAAAATTTCTCATTGAAAAATATTACTTTTTTTTTGGTCTTCTTTTCTAAATTTATTTTGATATACATAATTCACTCAAAAACAAACAGAACATTTCAATGTAATCTTATAGTTTCGAGTCTATTATGTAAAATTTTATTATTTAAATATGTAACTGATTACAAACTAACGATATTATATACTAAAGATTTTAAAGAATATTAATCGAGAATTCTTTTTCAATCATTTATTTATAAAAGTCTATTTTAATTAGCTTACTAGGAAATGTTAATTTTGATGATGAACCACCTGATTGTGGTCTTTCACGTTTATTCCCATTCGATGAATCATCTGATATTGATAAATCAAATAGAACAGCATTGCATAATGAATCAACTAAACCAGTTTCACGTCGTGTGATCATTGTTTTACTTGATGAACGTAATCGACGATCTAAATAAATTATTAATATTATATAGAACAAGTAAATACAAAAAAAAAAACAATTGTTTCGTTTTTTGCTAACCATCTTTATTTATTTGTGGTCCATCGGATTTTTTAACTAATTCTAAATAATCTTTCAATTCTGATGATGAAAGATATGTTTGAGAATAACATAATGATTTAATTGCATTTAATATCGATATCTAAAATTATAATGAAATTAAGTCATAAGAAAGAAAAAAAAAACTTGATATTTACTCGATTTGTATCATTTGTTTTTGGTAAAGCATTTTGTAAAAGATATTTTAATAATAACTTTCCTACATTTATCACATCGGTAAAATAAAAACGTTCAACTAAAAAAAATAGAACTAATGAAAAAAGAATTTTTTTTTGAACATGTTTATCAAACCTCGTGCTAATCCTCCAACAAGATAATGTGTTGCTACAATAACAAATGGATTTAGAAACTGTTCATTTATTGGATCTGATCGACTCAACAGATCTTCCCTAGAAAGCACATACACACATGAAAAAAGGAAAATTTTCATTACATTTTTTTATTTTATAACAAACCATCGTAAAATTGATTGAATTAGATCATTATATTTTGTACTGTTCGTATTATCGGTAAATGATTCAATTAATGTTTTCCATTCGAATGTTGTATTCGATGGAGATTGTGGCTGCTGTTGAGCATCACCATCAGATGATGCTTGAGGTGTAACAACAGTCATATTTTATTTTAATTGAATAACATAAAATATTCAAAATTTTGTTCTAGAATTTTCTGAAAAAATAAATGATTTATATATAATTATAAGAGTTGTTTAAGTATTTGTTGACTTGATTAACTGAACAAATAAAGGTAAGTTGTAAACGAGAAGAAAATAAAACGAATGGGAGAGAAATAAAACTGAGTCGGTCCGATTCGCAAGTAAATAAATAGAAAACAAATAATTCAAATGAATCATTCATAACCAATGAAAATGATCTACGATATTCCAAAAAGAGGTCGCTCTATTCTGATTATAGTAGAGAATTTTTCTATTAGAAATAGATGGAAACTATAATATGAATCTTTATACGAAAACAAAAATACATCTTTCAATCTCACTTCCTAGAAGACATTTCTTGAATATTTTATACGTACATTAATATTTTTAACGAATCCTACCGAATGATTAATTTATTTTCTTGTTTCCTAGTTATCATTGCGCATGCAGTCGAAAGAACGTAAAAAAGGCAGTGATATATTTCTTTTGCAATAACGTAGACGACAGAACAACACATACACGCCATCATTTTACAATTGCAATGATTTGTCACGTTGTACATATGGATCTCTTTTCATTTCTTTTCCACAAGTAGTTGCTTTTAACTATAAAGAAGAAGTCGTTATACTTTGTGCAAAAACAAGATACGTTATTCTGTTACTGTCAACATATCACCATGATTATATGTCATCTATCTATCTTTATATATATATATATATATATATATATATTGCCTGTAGCGTAGAAATTATCCTTTTTTTTATTTCTATATAAAAATATATGCAGGCGTAGAGATATCTTCAACTCATATTATTGTTCTTACAAAAGTAAGTTACGTTGTTAATGATATTTTTCTAGATTAAATCATGAATATATTATTTATTGTTATTGGTATTATTTACTTCATTGCTTCAAATGGTAAGTGTATTTAAAATTACACATGTTTTTGGTATATATCAATTTTTATTAACTCTTTAAGATGCAATAATTCTTACAAAGAAAGAACAAAAACTTACTTTACGTGGTCGAATTGTTTTTTCTAGTGGTTCACGTATACCAATTGAACCTAATGGAATATTAACAGTTGAACTACAAGATACAACACTTGCTGATGCCCCAGCAAGAGTTATTGCACGAAATATAGGTAAAGCTATTCGATTTCCAATGGCATTTGCAATAAAATATTCACCAAAACAAATTATTGATGGAAGTTTATGTTCATTACATGTCACTATAAGAAATAAAAATGATGAATTATTATATACAAATGATTATCATATTAGTGTAAATCCAGTTGGTCCTAATCGAACAAAACTTATTGATGTACCTGTTATACTTGTTAAAAGTTAAGAAAAAAACAAAAAAAATTATTTTTACTAAATTTTTCTCCATAATTTTAGACACACCACCAGTTGTTAAAAAAACTCAATGGCCTGAATTAGTTGGTATAAACGGTAAAGATGCAGTTAACCTTATTAAACAAGAAACAGGTAATATTGACGTAATATGAATATGTATAGAAATTTTGTTTTTTTCTTTATAAATGATAATAGGCTTTTCAAGTGTTATGACAATCGAAGAAGGATCACCGATCACATTAGATTATCGTATGGATCGCGTTCGTGTTTTTGTTAATAAGAAAGGCATAGTAGCAAGTGTTCCAAGTATTTCCTAAACCATACATTTGCAAATAAAACCGAAAAGCAGTGAAACAAACTTTTTCTTTTTTTTTTCTTTTGAATATTTTTATAATAATTATCTCTTTTTAGTATAAAATAATATATATTGCATGAAACTCTACCTTTAATTATTAATAAATTATATTTGCTTTTTTTTTATCATACGAGTTACTTATAAGAAGTTATTTCTTGAATATTATAGTCAATCAATGGTCACAGTCATTAATATTATTACATATCTGTAATGTCTTCGTCTTGTAATACTTTCATAAAAAGTAGAACATTGAGTGTAATCCTTTATGAGATTCTTCCTATTGAACGGCATCCACAAATATATCAGCATTGAATTATTATGAGTTTAACAAGCAATTCTCGTTCTTCTCACAAGGAACAAGAGCGAAGCAGCGAACTCGAGAAAATTCGTAGTGCTAATCTGTATGAATTCAAATGATCTTAATCGATGTCTAAAAACCCATTTGAAAGAATTTGGCTTCAATAGGAATAACGCCGGTTTTCAAATCAATCGGAATAGATAGAGTTATTTTCGATGGTAATATGTCTGAGTTGTGTGTACTAGCCACAGAATCCAAATTGACCTCAAGTATGAAATAAGTTTTTATTATAGATGGCATTGTAAAAATTTTTCTTAGTAAAATATATTCTGAAACTGTTTTCTTCTCGATTAATTTTAATTCTTTCTAATAAATAATTCGAATTTAAGTAGAAAATATTCTCTGCAATCGTTTATAGCTGAAACTGAGAGTTGTAAGCGCTACCACCAGTTCTTATAAGTACCGCAATATATCAGCGTTCGTGTGAGCAAACGTGCAACATGAGTTTTTCCTATGGCAAAATGCGGATTTTCGCTTTATTTTGCTATCACAATATATATTTTATCAGATTTAATCATTTATCTCCTGGAGTAAAATCTTTCTTTGACGAGTATTAATTGGTATATTTACTACTCCTTCATATTTCGCATATTCTTGTTCGTCTTGCAAAATGATAGGCATAAAGGAAAGGAAAATGTGACAAGTTATTAGACAAAACTGAAATTTGCTTGTTGCATTTACTTCAAGAAGTCAATAAACTAATCTAATCAAAATATATGTTGCTATGATGAATCAAAATAAATAACAGAGATGATCTATTGTTTGTCTAAGATATAACTTGTCAACAGTAAAAACAACATATACAGTATATTATCTCCAGCGAATAGAAGATGATGAGTTGAAGAGATGTACTTTATTGATGTTTTTTTTTCTTAACGAAGTTAAAAGGTTATGCAGAATGTCCCAAAAGTCTATTGAGAAAATTACTTGAATAATATTATTTAGTTCAATTAACTGATATGCACTTTTCTCAATATTATATTTATTTTGTTAGAATAGAACTGAAACTGTTCAACTTTCACAAAAAAAAATTCAAGAATCTGCCCGAATGCATTTAACAGAAAAATCTTCATTGTATATATGAGAGTTTTGAGATACTATACCTGTTCTAATTCAATTCTTTTGAATTTTATTTACAGTTTCTCACTTCACACAATTATGCTTGTAACAAGCATAAAAACTCAACTATGCATTATGACAGATACAGATTTTATATTTGACTTTAAAGATCATCTATTTTCTTAATAACAAAAAAAAAATGAGAAGTTCTGTATCAAAGGATTTTATCCGTAAGTCTTGTTGTGATCTTTCGTTAAATTCATATGTATAGTGTTCATCTTTCACAATGACAAGAAAATCAGAAATGTTAACATTCTTACTAATAATAGTTTGTCTTCTCTGAGGCGTCCATTTATTCCATTCTTTCTTTAACCTTGAAATTATGCTTTTCTTTCTGAATTCATGAGTAAAAATAATTTCCAAGTGGAGACAAAGAAATTGTATAAGTTCTTTGAGATATTTAAAGAGAATGAAAAATATTACTAAAATTGAACAATAACATATTTTAATGGCTAAAATTTAATGCAAACAAAAATGAGTAATTCACAAGTACTCTTATGAATGTTTCCTATTGAATTTTTCTCATGGCACTCTTTGTTTTTCGATTCTCTCTTTAATTAAGAACTTGCACAATCAGAATGAATGTTGATGAAAGATTATTAATAAACACATGCACATAAAATAGACTGTAAAAGTTTAAGATACTTTTTACTTCTGTATTTTCTTGCGAAAGAAAGGAAGTAAATGATATCTTTTGAGTGTTATATAGAGTTAGACTCAAGATCTACACAAATCACCTATTCTAGATCTAATTGACTGTAGCGTGAAGAAAAATAAGAAACTTCAAATTTTCTCTAACAGACAAAAGTTGAAGACACTTTCAGGATTTTGACGATTGTATCTTTATCAAGAAAACAGACAATTTTCAGAAATATACTATTAGATGCAAAATTGAATGGGATAGATTTTAATAGAAAAATTTTTATTAGTTACTAACTAGAAAAAATTTTTGTTATAAATTTTGATCTTTGAATATGTTGCTAGAAAGAGCATTGAAAACTGAATAGCATTGCATATTTTTGTATTCCAATAACTCTTTATTACAAGATTTTTTTTTTCTCAAAACTAATTAACTTTTAATTATTATTCTCATAATATTTAAGAAAAGTGAATTTCAAGCGTAGACTTCAGAACGTAAAAAAAGACAGTGCATTTTCTAGAGCAGACTTTGTTTTATCAAATGACACCTCGCATTCTTCTGTACAATGTGTTGCTTATCAGATATAGCACTTTGAATGTATTCAGGTATGGAGCAAGCAAAAAGTAGCTGAAAATCATCATTGGAATTAGTGATCAAAGATAAAAGAATTGTAACAGATAAAGAAGATATTGCATAGAAGAGAGTAAGATCTCATTTGATAAAACAAGGTCTGCTCTACAACATGCACTACTTTTTTTTTTCAAGTTCTGAAGTTTATGCTTAGAGTTCACTTTTCTTAATTATTTTTAGAATATTAATTAAAGATTAATTAGTTTTGAAAGAAAACCTTGTAATAAAGAGTTATTAAAATATTTCTTTCTTACCTCTATAGCTCAAAGCCAATATTATTCCTACCATTATGTTCTGATCCATTAGCCATTATGTGTAACATTGAATCCATAGATGTGTGAGCTGCTTATTCAAAATGAAGAAAAGTTTTACATGAATATATATAATGTTATAACCATGAATAGGTTCCTGAGAACGCACATGTTGATAGTGTATATTATCAGTGACAATTTGGTACAAAAGAACTATTTTTTTTTTGAAGAAGTCTAAGTTGTTTTTCTCTTTTCTTAATTTTCAATCAAACAGAATTTTATTTCCAAGTCCAAAATAACTTCGTTTCTTCTGATTTATGCATAGTTCCTAACTATCATCTGCGACTCTTTCACTATATTTATTTCATTTGATCTTTATGATTTAATTGCACATTGAGTTATGATCGCGTAGTGCCAATCGATTTTTAGGTCGATTGTATTTCACGATTCTTAAACCTATAAAATTCACGAAAAAAATATTCATCACTTTTTTGCTTTCCCTGATCACATTTGTATGGATATGTTTCTCTGACTGTTCTTGCATGAAAATACGGCAGCTATCTCTGTTCAGTATATATTTGAAATTGCGAATTGTAAAATAAAATACAAGTGCAAGAGAATGCATTACATCAAGACAACGGATTGCTTTGGACAACAAAGTATATTAACATATTCGATATGACTTTTAGTTTAAAGTAGTTGCAGAAAAATGTCGACTCTAGTAATATCATAGAGAACAACTATTATTGACATGTAAACGGAGTATTTTGCAGACATATTCGATAGAACTACAACTATTTAAACCATTTTCAACAAGATTTTGTCTCAGCTACATATTGAATTATCATTTCTTTCAAGAGATTCACATAACTGATCATTATCATATTTTACTATTAGCAAAAAATATTTTCAATGAAAAGTCCAACAAACGTCTAAACACATGAATTCGATGGATATTAGAATAATCATCATAGAATTAAAAGAAGTCCTTTAGACAGTGTCAAACCAAACGAATTTTACAACCTAAACTTTAAATATTCTTCCAGTAAAATCTTACTATACAGTCATTCTTGTAGAGGATACTCTTTACCATAAATTATGATGTGAGGACATGAGTATAGCCAAGGTTCGATGATAGGAGTTAACACAGAATCTTCAATTTTTCAGAGATTATACTCCCGCTTACCATACCCTGCATTTTTGCGAAGCGTAGGTGTGGCTGCGCGTGGGAACTTTCTCGTCTCACACATTAGTGAATGTTTGATTACGAATATGACATGGTCTTGTGTTTCAAAACATGTATAAAGATTTATTAAAACTGAATATTGACGCCGATGTTTTGTGTCAATCATTCGATTTTCAAATATTAGCGATTCAACTTCATCCAGTACTAATATGACACCTTTTCTCAATACTTTTAATACATAATCATCTTCAACACAAGAAAGATACTCGACAATATTACCATTCATTTAATGTAAAACAAATCGCGATATTGAAGTAGATAAGACAAATAAATAACTCTTCCAAAAATGACCACAACCGAATACACTAACAAGATGAAATACGTCGCTATAAACACCTTTAGGATATGTACATAAAAATAAATGCTTAGGACATCTCAAAAGGTATGGATGTGAGTGTGAGTGTTGGTATTAATTTCACATTCACATCGATACCCACCCACACCCTCTAACTCCACCCAAACTTTTAGCGACCAAGTTGGAAGTCCAGTTATATGTGTACGACGAATATAGAAAATTCAGTGGACTTTGACTGCTTTGAACTATAAGGACAACTGAATATGAAAATTCAGTGATGATGCTATTCTGTCATATCTACTGAAATTTTGGAAAAAAAATCACGATTATCATACACTTTTATTTGAAAATATTGAAAACAAGTAGCTATCGGTATACAATCGAAAGATGGACAGCTGCTATGGATAGAAGTTCTTGTCAATTGCTACTGAACATTCTCTTGTAGTACCAACAAACTGTTTAATGGCTGGCTTCGTCCATCCGCCGAATGGACGGAAATCTTGAAATGACGGATTGTTATCGTAGTGTGCATACCACAGAGGAGCAGATTTGAATGTTTGCACTCCCCCAGTGATTGGATCCCATTGAGATTTCGACGTGTAAATGCCATAGTTTACTCCGAGCCTTTTACATTCATCGACCATAGACTGAATAAACGCTACATTTTTTCCTATATCCGCACTCCAGTACTGAGTTCCGCCTTCGACATCAAGCCACAGCATGCCAATTTTAGCACCGCTCTCCTTCAGCGTTTTGATTGTAGTTGAGATCTATATTGAATAAAAAATCTACATAAAGTATTGTTGATAGGCTTATTTAACACTTCATTGCTATTGTCCGAAGATCACACGATGTTTGTGGATGATTCTTTGTTAGATGAAAGACATACATACAAAAATTTTTCCAAAGCACGTAAAACTTTCGGGATGTATATAATAGTTATTTTCGTATTAAAATTTAAAGACTTTACTGAATTTTGGAAGAGATCAGAGATAAATATAAAGGAGAAAATTCGATGGATCTCAATGTTCATACAATAGTAGCGATGACTTTATTTGGTCACCAATTTGTAAGACTAAATAAATTCTAACATCAAACTCGCATGCTTTGTTACAAAAAGAATTTCAAAGTCTAACGTTTGAATTCTTTAACTCTTTTTATAATATTGCTTTTGTCTCAACAGGTTCCAAAAGCTTTCAAGAATATTTTTCAAAACAAACTGTTCATGTAAATGTACTTACCTGTACGGGACCATTACCACATTTCACACACGGAAAAATGTAAGCGTCGACATGAGCTATTCTAGCATTCCAAGCATTTTTAATCGTTTGAACAGCATTCGGATCGAACGTACCAGAACTTTGATAAGCTCGAACGATAGCAAAATTGTATCCTTTTCCTGAATAAGAAACTTCAATTTGCATAAAACTGAACTCAACAGTTGTTACTTTAGAAGCGTACCTTTCAGACAAGCGAAATTCGCTTGTGTAACCGCTGTGGAGACATCGACGCCTATTGTGGCCAGTGTTGCAGGTAGAAGAACAAGTGCAATATAGAGTAACATCATCCTTTCTCACAGTCAAATTAATTGTATAAGCAACTTGTACGATGTTGATGGTCTTTTATAGATACAAAACGTATTCGTAAATATGACGTCGTGTATATGTATAAAAAAGAGAATATGAGCAGTTTAGAAGACACCTGTTCGTGAGTATAATGTTGTTATAACACGTGGCGCAGATAAAATGAGACAATTTTTGTCCTCTCATGTTATCTTCTTTAAACTTTTGAAGTTTCACGTTCAATTAATAATTGATGATTGAAAATATTCAATGAGACCAGTTCTTTTGTTTTATTTAAACCTCTGAATTAAAAATCTTGTGTTTGAATAAAAAAAATAGGTAACAATGTCAAAAAACATCTTTTATTGGCCAAATATGAAAAAAAATTCATCCGTGAGCTGATCTATCAGTTTCTTATCTGAAGATTGATTGTCCAACGATTGCTTAAATATAATATTGGATGGAGATTTTCTATTAAAAGTGTTTTTTCGAAGCTTACACCAGAACAACAAAAGATCATTATTTCGGAAACTGAATAAGAAAAAATATCAAAAAAGCACTAGAGAAAAATTTAAATTATTGGACTAATAGCAGCTGTCGTCTGACTTTGTTCATTATTTATTTTTGTTCAAACACAAGATTTTTAATTCAGAAGTTTAAATTAAATAGTAGAACCAGTCTTGTTGAACGTTTTCCATCATCGATTATTAATTGAACATGAAACTTAATTACGTAGGATGATCAAAATTTGCCGATTAGAATGTTTTTCGGCATGAAGGTGCAGTGCATGATTTTGAGATTCTTTTTGTTTAAGCCTGTTTATTCTAAAAGATCAGTACTTCATAAATAAAACTGATACCATTTTGTAGAGCAGAAAATTCTCCATCTGTTGAACATCAAACTAGATTTTTAGAAAAAGTTAAAGTAGATAAAATGAGAGAACAAAAGTGACTCATTTAATCTGCGCCATGTGTTATAGAATCGTACGCTTTCTCATTGACAATATGCGTCCTTGATGGTAAATCACAAATTTAACTTTTATGTGAAGTTTTTTTCTATATTTAGTTTAATGATAGCATCTCTCTCTTCCTTTTTTATGATAAACTGAATATAAAGACAAAATAATTACTTGTTATATTACGTTCTTTTCTTCAGCTATACCAAAAAAAAGCGCAACAGTAAGAAATGTGGAAAGCTGTCGTCATCAATACGAGAAAAGGGAAGAACACTGTTATTGAACGACAATAGAGAGAAACTTTGCACAAAAAGTGAATTGGTGGCTCATTCGCTGACACTGGTATAAATGTTATTTTGAGTCGAAATATTGCAACTGTGTTTATTAATCGATATCAAAACAGATATTTATGAAAAGAGTATTAAAGATTTGGACGATCTACAGATTAGAATAAATGAAGAAATCGAAGTACTTTAAGAAGAAGAACCTCTGCATAGTATGTTTTTTCCTAGAAACAGAAGAAAAGTCTAAATTTTTGTATTTCGATCAAAAGTGATAACTCTGAAGATTACTTCTGAAGTTCGTTCATAGAAATCAAAACTCGGTCTATTCACCTATAGTTTTTAAAAAATTGTTGATAAAGTTAAATTAAATAATAGAAATAGATGAACAAACTTTTGGAAAGAGTATTTTGCTACGCTCTATAGTGTAGTTACACTTCCTCATTAATAATATGTGCCCCTTGAGAATGAATAATAAATGCACTTTTTATGCGAAGTTTCTTTCTATCTTTAGTTTAATGGCAGTATTTCTTCTCCTTTCTCACATTGATGACAATATCTATCCACGTTTCTTACTATTTTTACCTTGACTCAATAAATGATAAATATTGCTATGCATAAAGACATGCCATAAAAGATAATTATGCTATATTATACATATGTATGTTATTCTCTTTCATTCTTTTCTTATGTACATATAACGAGTAGGCTAGATTGAATGGCCCCATATTGTATCTGATTTTTTCATCACCTAATAGATTTTATTACAAAACAAAATATGCCACAAGGTCTAGCGTGAAAAGCTCTACAATTTACAGAAGATCGCTTATTTTATAGTCATACTTTTTCTTTCCAACAAAATAGGCAAACTTTTGAGTGACCAAGTTTTGACCGTACGAAAATTGTTTGCACAGAATTTTGCTTTTTCTGAAAATATTTACGATAAGCTTCAGTTTGTTAATCGTAGAGCTTTTCACGTTGCATCTTGTTGTATGTTTTGTTGTTCTTTACGAAAACATATTAGGTGATAAAAAAAAAGATGAAATATGACAGAAAGGAATTTCTTGTTCGTGTGAGAAAAAAGGTTTTGTTTTGTAAAGATGAAAACCGGTCACCCAAAATTTCGCTTATTGTGGAAACAAAATGTGCATATATACAACAAGCGGTCTTATGAAAATTGTAGAGTTTTCCACGCTGCATCTGATGGAATGTTTTGTTTTGTTTTAAAAAGAACCGTATCACATGATAAAAAAGATAAAAGAAGGAGAAATGAGTTCTTGTTCTTATAGAAAAAATTGATTTTTTTTAGCAAAGACAAAAACTGGTGATAAAAAAGCTTTGCTTTGTTTTCCCAAAGAAACGTATACAATTTGCATAAGCTTTATATGGTAGATTATAGAGCCTTTCGCGCTGCATCTTGTGATATATTTTATTTTTCTTTTGATGAAGTACAAAAGGTGATGAAAAGATGATGTGACAGAAAATAAGTTCGCCATGTATCAAGAAAAAGTTCTTTTTCGCACGGTCGCAGTTTGGTCACTCAAAATTTTGCCCATTTTGGAAAGAAAAAATGTAACTATAAAACAAGCGATCTTATGTAAATTGTAGAGCTTTTTATACTGCATCTCGTCGTATATCTTGTTTTGTAATAAAACGTATTGAGTGATGAAAAAATAAAATATAAAAATGGACCATTCAACCTGGCCCATCCATTACGTTGTCAACTTTATCTATTTCTTTCATTTTTCTTCATTCCGGCAAATATTTTTTCATATTTTTTTTTGTCTTGGTTTTTTTTTCTTTCTTTCATGTCGTCACTTAGGTATATTCTAATTGTATCATATCTATCATTGGTGTATTTCATCATTCCAAATATATATATATTCCATGTTTCTCATTTTGGAAACAATCAGCGCATAGATTAAAGTTGTGACACTCGAGGCATTTGTATCGATCACCTTCGGTCGGACTACAATAACAACCAGCCATCGTACTTCCGAACATGCTGACATCGTTGAAGTCTAGAAGAAGTTCGCTAGTGAAAAAAGAAAATTTTCAACAAAAGATAGTGACAAATTCAAGTAGATGACCACTATCGTTTGAAAGAATTTAAAATGACTAAATGGATTTAATATGTCCTACTTTCCAAGCAAAACCAAGGAGAAAATGACGTATTGATTAACTGAAAGAGTAGGTTTGTTGTCACTCTTAGTAATGATGCTTATTAAGTTCCTTCATATTTTCAATATATGTCTGTTTCACATATATCACATGCTCATATAAAGAAAAGTAAGACTGAAAAATGGGCACAGAAAAAACAACAGAGATAAATGTCAATAGCGGTATACTATTTAACTTAGTTTTTACATATTTCTGAATGTTTGCCCAATACAAGAATAAGAAAAAAGAAACTAGGACAAATAATAACGAAAAGGTAAAAAAACAGAATACATTATGTTATTTGTCATATAATAAAAACAATCAATGAAAAAGAAGCATTTGACAACAACATAAAAGAAACCTTGATGTGCTATATGAAATATTCAGAAGAATTCGTTTTCACACTGTTTAATTAGTCCCACCGGCATTTTATACAAATGAAAAAAAACATTGTCACAAACACGAAATACAGAACAACTTCCATTTGCGTAACTATCAAATAATTGCTCATGATTCTTTCTTTCGATGTAGAAAGAAACACGACTTTTTCAAAACTTCCATTGAAACTTCAAACAAGAAAACATATAAAATTGTTTTCTGAAAATCAGTGTCACAGTCTACAATTCGACGAATTATTGTTGCTTTTCATAAACTAATCAGTTTTTAAAAGATATTAATTCAAGGATTTTAAACTAATACCAACAGTTTTTAAACTTTATATCATTTATTTAACGTTCTTCGATGATATAGAATACGAAAAAATGTTATCATATTCTCATCTTTTGTTTATAAGACCTGCAGAAATTGAGTGTGTGGGTGTGGGTGTAGGTGGTGTGGATGTTGGTATTCACTTCTCTTTATCCATACCTACACCCACACCCTCTACTCTCATCCATCTATTCATTCCTTTAATCTGTTGCAAGTTCGTGTCTTATTTTGTTTTGTTGTCGCATTTCAATCTATAAGATTGTATTAGATCATGTTAATAAGAATAAGAAAAAAAATTCATTTGATTGTGGAGAAAATCGAGCTGTTTTCTCCTTTATCTGCTTCCTTCTCTATCACAAGCAGAACAAAAGTAAATCAAACAGGAGTTCTTCTTCTGATTTTTGTTGTCAGTAACTAAAACAACATTCGTCAAGAGAACATTCACTGTCGACTGAGGAACTTGTTGACTGAGATGGAACGGATGAGATTCACTAGAATGAACATTGATCATTACAAGTTGTTGTTGATTACTTGTCAAAATTGTTTTAGGACAAATGATCACATGTTCGATTTCGATTAACAACTTCTTTCCAATTATTGAAATAATCAAAGAGACAATTTGACAGTAAAAATTACTTTTGAATTCTGAGTAACTGAGTAGTCCATCTATTCTTGGCTTGGATTCTTCAAAATCAAAACCATCAAATGACCAAACAGTTTATTCCTTATATTGGAAAGAATTTGACTGCAAGCTATCTGATGAGATCCATCTTCTTAATAAAACCAAATCCGGATCATGACAGATCTTACCGTCATACCATTGAAACGGATAATTTTTGAACAATAAATTATATATTAGAAAATAGTAATGATTTATTGGTAGATTTATTTGGATAAAAAA